ACACAAACTAGCGTCCTCCCCTCACCCTAGGCTCAGTATATAGGGAGCTACAGCTCGCGGTATACTGAGACGCCGCACCTGGAGCGCATCCCGACTTAGATGCCGGGATCCGCCCAGCTGCGTGACTGACAGCTGGCTCTGCCTATCCAGAGGCAGAGCCAGCTGTACCCGCCCCCTCCCCCGTCCGTTCCACCAGTCAGCGCTGGCGGATCGGAGCGGGGAGAGGGGAATCCAGCCCCTCCCCCTGTCACGGCAGAGAGCCGTGACAGGATCGAGAGGTGAGCGAACGCCGGTATGTGTTCTCTCACCTCCCGATCTACTGAGCCGACCTGTGACAGTCTCATTGTCACAGGTCGGCTAGAACTATGAGGCGAGTGAAAAGCACCCCCCCCATAGTTCTCCTTTAAAGTGGAACTCTGCACAAACAGCAAAATGGCACATATATGTTTTCTGAGTCCCCCCTCCCCTGGTTTTCTGAGTCGCCCCTCCCCGGTTTTCTGAGTCCCCCATCTCCCTGGTTTATTATTTGCTGATCCTGGTCTGTTTTTTTTCCCCTGCTTCCTTTGGCAGGCCAAGCTGTCCAGCAAAAGTGACAGTTCGCGGAGTTGGGACAGACCATATAACACCGCCGCTTATGGTCAGCATGTGGTTTCAACAAACAAAACTGTTGTTGTAACGGCTTAAAATGTGTTCTCTGAATCTTAAAGGAGAACTATGGGGGGGGGGGGGGCTTTTCACTCACCTCATAGTTCTAGCCGACCTGTGACAATGAGACTGTCACAGGTCGGCTCAGTAGATCGGGAGGTGAGCGAACACATACCGGCGTTCCTGCGGTGACAGGGGAGGGGCTGGATTCCCCCCTCCCAGCTACGATCCGCCAGCGCTGACTGGCGGAACGGACGGGGGAGGGGGCGGGTACAGCTGGCTCTGCCTCTAGATAGGCAGAGCCAGCTGTCACTCACGCAGCTGGGCGGATCCAGACATAATTGTCGGGATCCGCTTCAGC